TTAGGAGCACTTATGGCTGGGTAACACTTTCCGTAGAACTGAACGGCGTTAAACGCTGCGGATAACACCAGGTGTCGAGCGGCGGGAGCGCGAGAACGACCTTCGTGAGAAAAGGCGAACGAGAGCCTTTCAAAACGGATTTAGATCGTTCAAAGATTGGACTGGAGCGTATATTTCACTTGTATTATATTGCGGTTGTCCTCTGAGCGGATTTACTATTACAGCAACACGAAAAATAGAGATTTACTCTTCCAGCTCCACCACTACCAGGCTCCGGCACCTGTTTGCGATGCTGTAAATGCTAACCCGTTCCTGTCATCAATCTTAAATGGCGCAGATCAACGAAACGTACGGTGTCCAAAGGTGTTCAAAGGTATATCTTCCAGACGCGGGATCACTCTCGTCGGCTCGTTGTCCGCCGCTTAATGGTAACTGCTGGGCCGACGTCGTGCGGCCTATGGAGACTGCAACGCTGGGGGTCAGGGTTTTGTTTCTAAGGCTTGCATGTTCGAACTTGTGCTCCACATCTTTTTCACTGATCGATTCTGAATGCGGCATTGTTTTACGTAAGGTGACGTCTACGCCATAGTGGGTCCAGGTGACTGGCATTCGCGAGATATTTTCAACTGCGTTGTACCACAAAAGGCACGGCTACGTCAATGAAATTAAACTCGAAAAATAGCCTTATGTGACATCAGATATTTAATCCCGCCCATTTATACACTGCCTGCTTGTAACAGGACTCCTTCCCATGTTACCGAAGCCAATGTCACTTATCAGGGTTGGTAATTGCATGTTCGGGTGCATTCGTAAAAGCAGTTTTCCTCAATGCCATAAACCGTCAGAAATCGCAAATTGAAGATATCGTTGGCGCCCTTCGGGCTTTCACGAGCAGCGTGAGTCATCTTGGCAGCCACTCTGAGCTGAGTCTCCCAAGCCACTGCAAGAGTGGAGCAGACCGGTCAAGGATCAGACTCCGTCGGCTAAAAAATCAGGCAGGGCGGGGCTTACAGCTGGTGTGAGAGCATAGCTCCGCCCCGTCACGACACTCTAACCACAGGCGAATATTTTTTGTGTTTTCTAACGTCACGCGGGAACGTTAAGTGCCCTTGCGTTTCATCTAATGTAAACGAACCTTAAAAAGTTTCTGTGGGCATTCATTTATCCCTCTTGTGCAACAACAAACGTTCTGCCAGATAGCGGGTGTGAAAGCTATCGGCGAAAAACAGGGTCTCAAGCGGTTTACCGTCTGCAGTAGATTGTTAGCTCCACCACCTGATTAGATGCAAGCAATATTAGCATAAGTGGAAGTGATGTTGATGAGACTGAGTCTGAATTATGATTGTGTTCCTCGTGATTGTGCTGCAACATAAGTTTGAACTCTTTCCCGCAGCAACTCTCCCGCTCTTCCGTAATGACTTTGGCACTACATATACGGTGAGTAGAAAATCACCTTCGAAATTGTAACCAGTGAGTGAATTTAAAGGCAGATGTCGAGCAAAAAAGCTCTACACGGTATTTGGTGACAAAGAGCACAACAATCCGGTGGCCTTCTTTTCGTGTGTGTTTCGTGTCGTTTTTATGTCGCTTTTCGAGTCGCCGTGTTTTCACCTCTTCTCGTGTGTTTTTGCCTGTTTTTCCGTGATATCGCGTTTTTCACTTGCATTCGACTTTGCATTCTCAGTAACGGTATTATTCTTGATTTATTCGATGCTCGAATCTTGCCCCATGTCTGTCATTACTACTACAACTCCTCAAATGTATGCGTCACGCATCGCAAAACGCGGCTCATCATAGGGACATGCAGTCAGTGGCTCCATGTCGGTTGTTAGTCAAATGCTGTCTGTGGTGGTGACGGTTCGTGTTGACGCACTCCAGAAAAAATATTCCTTTTCCCATCAACCACGGATACTCCTTTCGCCATATTATTTTTGGCTTTGGCCACCATATCCTCATTCAGGTAGAGCAAATCATGTGACCTTTCGAAAGAATAAATCGAATGACGACATACATGTCTGGGTGACTTTCGTGTAGGCGCATGAAAGAGACCGCACAAGTTCGCGTGCGTCTATTTCAGAAACAAGAGGATTTGATGTCTTAAATGGGTATAAAACGAACTGCCGGAAATGACCTTTAGAATGTCGATTTAAACCCATAATTCCACACAAACGTAAGCCAATCCTTTTTAGAGCGTGTGTATTTAAAGTGGTGTAATATCATCCTTTAATTATTCAATTCTGAAGAATGAATAAGTATGCCCAGGTGCACGGAGTCGGCCATCTCCGTACACATTTTGGCGGTATTGCTATCTGCAATTTACGTTTAGCTCCGGGATCCTATATGTATAACCAAAACTGCATCTTTCGGCAGCTCTGAGCTGTACTTCCGTTAAAAATATCAAAATAGCAATGAAGTTAAGAAAATTGGACCTTCTCCTAATTCAAGTGTGCTCATCTTTTTGGGGCCATCTTTTTTGGGGAGGGAGATTTTCAGCGACACGGGGTCCTTTATCATCCCTGGTGCCCCTTCCCCTACCAAGACTCAACTTTGCTCCTGTTTCCAAACATCAAAATGCCAAGATAGCAGTGTTCCATTGGGCTACACTTCACAGGGGACAGCACTGTGCTGCGCCGTGCCATGGACGTCTAGAACACCACAGCGGTACCAGTTCAACGGCAACTTGGGCCCCCGCTCAGACAATGTACCGAACGCTACCCGGCCGCAGAATTGGGGCAGTTTGACTGCTTAGAAGTGCCCCATGACCAGACAGGTTAGAAGGGCCCGATGGCCAGACTGTTTAGAAGAGCCTGATGACCAAACTGCCTAGAAGAGCCCGATGGCTAGGCACTGTGACGATACTTTGTTCCCGTTGTTACCGGGTCAGTAACGTATGGTCGTCGGCCGGCGATAGGCGACTTGAAACATATCCTTGACTGCCCTGTGGCAGCCTGAGCTTCCCTGAGCTTTCAGCGCTGTTCCCAAGGCTCGACAACTGACCAGGCCCAATACATTAACGAGCGTCTCAAAGGGTGTTGGATGCCACTGTATCTCCGCCACAACGCAGCACCGTGCTGCTTCAGAGTTGAATTTTTCATGTTTTTTTAATTTTTTTAAGTCTATTTTTTGGCCAAAATATCTGCCGTCCCACAACCGACCAGGTCGCCCTTGCTACAGTTTCAGTGCAGCAGCGTCCACGCTCCGCGCAATTTTGATTTCGTATTTCAATTTCGACCGTGCCCATAGAATTAATATCGGGTTGAAAGACACGTATAGTGCATGTGGGTAAGCTGAACGTAACATCTTTCAATGCACCCGTGCAATGCAATGCCTTGCAATTGCAATTCCAATTTTGCAATTGGAATTGCGTTTGTAATTTAGATGCAATGCCTTTCCCTCTTTATAGCTGAAGTTTGCCATTTGCTTCGTGTTCTAGTCACCTCCATAGAAAATTGAGCCGTTGTTGTCGGAAGGCGTCGTACTGAACTTCCTGAACGCTCTTCACAAGGATGTTCCTTCTGCCGTCCATTACGGCGATGACTTTGCTATCAATCCTAAAATCGTTTTGTGTACACTAAGTCATGGATGTGGGATAGTGGTGTGGTGTGTACTACCCTCGCCCCCGCGAGGCCTGGGTTCGAATCCCAGCTGTATCACGCCGGCCTCTCGGCGTTGACTGGCCGGAGTATTCGCCAACGTTCCATAGTAGCGTTCTTAATAACCTGTTTCGCATTCCACGCAAAATAATGAAATTAAAACGCGGTCGCTCGTGCACCAACCACATCAGTTAATCACATGAATAGGAGAACCACGTGAATCAGGAACCGCATGAACAAGCGAGCATGTGGACGCTGTTGCCGTCGTGGTCAGCCTGTACTGTGTCATGGCTCCCGCGAAGGAGCGAAGCCCGCACATCCATATGTCCTGTGGGACGGAGATCTATTTGCCACACGTGAGCTTTTCTTTAGTGCCTGTGAGCAGCCTGTGGGTCGCTTCGACTTTTCATCCATCTTTGCATGTTGAGATGACGAGAAGCGTGGAGTTGGCTCCCTTGGTCTGAAATAAATGTTGGATGTCGTGCCGTTTTTTATATGTGCATGCTTGCTCGCTGGCAAGCGCGGAATCGAGTCAACTACCTACCGAGTAATCCGAGTCATCTCTACCTAAGTGTCTTCCCGGGCAAGCCAATGTCCCCGTCCGCGGTCTTCCTTTCGTTAGGACCCCTTCAAGCTGCCCTCGCTTTACATTCAGGTGACATGTCTGCAAGTTGTATGAAAGCTTTATTCCTGTTTTTTCCCTGGTGGTAAATGTTTACCGGTGGTTTGGAATGCGCAATCTAGCCCGCGTTACGTAACAGATTCCACTCCAGTTACAAGATTAAAGTAACTGGTACATTAACATTAAAGTAATGGTCCCACTTTAATATGTCTGAAGTGGAGTAATTCCATCTTCATTCGAAACTATGTTTTCTTCGTGTCACGCCTTTGCCTTTCACATGATCACAATTCTACGAAAGTTTAGTCGATAGTACTTTTGGCGTTACTCCCAAATATGGTAGCACCGATGGCGACAGCACTATGATGTCACCGGAACAAAACAACGCAGAAGTGACAACATTCCACCGTTCTGGGTCTGTTGTTGAGGCCGAAAATGCCTATTCAAACCACGAGCTTTGCCTCATTCAGGAAAGCCAAAGTTAGGGAACATGTTTTGAAGGCGCAATCTCGTTCATGCACTCCGTCAGGCGTTCCACCACCCACGGACGGGGAACAGTGACCCCGCGCAAGCGTTGCAGAAATGATGTGCCAAATTAGGGGATGTGTTCCCTACTGCATGGACGGAAACGCTCGCTGCAAATTGTAAGTGCGTAACATAGTTTACAACTGTCCACTGCTCACTTGAACTACCACCAAACAGGCGAAAATGCCCTCCGCAAAAATTGCAGCCGCATGCTCATTTTCTTGCCAACCTCCACACAAATCAAGTAGGAAAATATCCAGAAGTCCTCGCAAAAGTGTATGACATTGTCACAACAGATGAACCAAGGACGCAGCACGATTTTCACACAACACACACACACATGACGGTGGACCTTTGCTCAGAGACGAAAATATATAATGTTGCTGTTTTACATTAAGGGCTGATTATTCTAACTGAAGATTAATTTACCAAACAAATTATTTTTATTATCGACTGCTGGATTTTTTACACCGAGTCCGCAACGCCTCCGATGTGCTCGCGGGTGTGGCTGAAGTCGGGCAGGTGGTCACCCTCCGGGTGGAAGCCGTTCTCGTCGGCAGTCCAGTCGACGGTGTAGGTGACGCCCTCCCACTCGTACGAGTAGGAGCCAGTCCTCACGTAGTTGCCAGTCTCCGGCTCGTTGCCCGGGTACGAGATGCCGTCCTCGTTGGCGGTGATGCCGTTGGTGGTCTCGTAGCTGCGATTGGACATAAACGTTTCAACCGCTTTGACTCTGGAAGTGCTTTTGGGAGGAATAAGGCGTAAACAGCATACACGCTTGGAAAGCAAATAAAAAAGGGCGACAGAGACTGCACTCGAAGTCCGTGGCCTCCGGTTGTTGCTTCATTTTAAGCATTCGAATCCAGGACATGTATCTGTGTTTTTGGAGCAGCTCACTCCTATCCGAGGAAAACCTAGCCGCCGGCTTGCCACCGCCGAGGGCATGGTCGGGAAAAGAAGAGTGCTGTCTCTGGGACTCGAAGTTGTAACGGAATGCCTACCAGCACCCATCCTATCCGTCGGTGCAGGAGCCGGCACTCAAAGCAAAAGGAGGCTGGTAACCCTCGATTACCTTCAGTTATAACAGCTCGGTTATAACAGCTCGGTTTGGTTTCGGATAGCTCGATGGTGATAAGCCAGTGAGCTGTTTCGTGCCGCGGGAGCCGAGCGATGCGCTAACAGATCTGGGATTGTCCGTTGCTAAGGAGGTTATGTAAAAAAAACTGACACCATCAACAGCCCACACCAACAACATTCGTCAGTGCGCTAGTTGGTCTGTCTTTCATGTTAACTCAACATGCAGAGTTCCACTGACGCAACACTCAGGAGCCAGTTCGCGACTGATCTGCTGGAAAGGTGGTTGGCTAGGTTTGGGCCTGGTCGGCTTTGGCAATTTTCTTGGACGGAATGGGTATATTGGCTTTGATTTATAGCTTATCCTGGCACAAGCAAAGCATTGTGTAAAACGTGAATATTTGGGATGGACATTGCTCAGACTACACAGGGCTACACTCTCGTCAACCCTTCATGGCCTGGTCTAGTTTGGTTCCATCCGGAGCATCACGTATTCGAGACCTGCGTCGGAAAAGGTGATACCTGCTGCACTCTGGCCGACTACTGCCAAGTCTATGGTTTGGACAAAAATTTCCTGGCAGGGTATACAGCATGTTATTTGAAGAAGTGACTTTTTTGCAGGTAAAGCTACATGAACCTGCGAGGATATTAGTTTGAAGAAAGCACGCCGTCCGGTACACTGACGCTGAATTTGGTATAATAGTTTAAGACTTACTTAGCCTGCGGCTTCGTAACAGCAAACGCCAGAGCCTCCAGGCCCCCCATGGTATGACGTGGGATAAGTATAACCCAATATGCAGATATTTTCCTGGTTGGTATATGGCGTCTCTGGGCACAAGGAGCCAGGATATGATGAGTACATGTTGATGAGGTGAATAAGGAACAAAGAGCGTGGACTGTCCAAGAGCTGCTACGTTTCTTTGCTAAGGTAAGCCACGTAAGTTTTGCATGGCTAGCAACTCCAGTTCAAAATCTCATAGGCTAGCACTTTCACTAAACACTCATCGAAATATTACGCCGATAAAGAGTGCGTGCAAGAACAACAATTACTATTGCGAATCTTACCTGGCTTCGTAGGAGCCATCCTCCTCGATGCCGTACTGGTGGTCAATGATTTTGGCCCCCTGGTCGGCCACAGCCAACGCCACCACGCAGAAAAGAATGATCTGAAAAGGACACAAACATTGTGAAACACGGCGCTTTTAAACAGCACCCACCAACGAACCAGGCTATGCGCACTGTCGGGCTATGCTATATCACTTGTTTGCTTTGAGATTATTCACGAAGTTTGTTTTGGTATACTTACAGCCCTCATTGTTGATGATGAGACCAGCGAGTGACCGCATGTGGGCTGGGACGGTTTATATATCCCACCGAATGATCTTAAAACGTCAGAGGCTGAACCCACCAACGGCGCCGCTAACCGCATGTACCAGCATCGACGAGGCGGAGGCGAGGCGGTCTCTTTATCTTGCGAGATCCTACATGCCACTTATGGGCTGTCTTCAGCTAAGCCCTCTGATGTGAGTAGCAAGAGAAACCGCTTTTCACGAGTGTCATCAGCGTTTGCTTCGCCGCCATTCGAAAAGAAAGCTATCATGTCTCGGGTCTAGGCAAACCGGCCGAATTTGTCCGGGTTCTAACGTGATTAGCCTGTATGGGCGTATTTCCAAGCACCTACATGCAAAGAGTGAAGATGGCGTAGTAAAAATGTCTCTGCTCGTCTTCTTACAACACATGCAACGGCTCGCGCTACCGAGTACCGCCAAACCTCACGCTAGTTCTTTGCTCCTAGGACAGCATAATGTAACGGAAGCCACGCCCCGTGCCTGCTGGCGAGCTTTCTTTGCTCCTAGGACAGCATAATGTAACGGAAGCCACGCCCCGTGCCTGCTGGCGAGCTCTCTTTGCTCCTAGGACAGCATAATGTAACGGAAGCCACGCCCCGTGCCTGCTGGCGAGCTCTCTTTGCTCCTAGGACAGCATAATGTAACGGAAGCCACGCCCCGTGCCTGCTGGCGAGCTTTCTTTGCTCCTAGGACAGCATAATGTAACGGAAGCCACGCCCCGTGCCTGCTGGCGAGCTTTCTTTGCTCCTAGGACAGCATAATGTAACGGGAGCCACGTCCCGTGCCCGCTGGCGAGCTTTGTCTCCTTTGAACACCCTTGTTTCTCTTCGCTGAGCTTTTAGCTGCCGACATCGAGTGATCTGCTGAACAACCGAGAGGCAGCCTGAGACCGGGACGACGCGCGAACGAGCCCGACTTTGACTCTATTTGCAAGCGTGTCCATCGAAAGGGCCAGATCCATCGTCCCCGATTGCGCATCCAATGATGCTGAAATTCGGCCCCTTAAATCGGACCGTGTATGAACAATCGCTTTAAGCCTGCCCGTTCAAGTTTCCTTTTGAAGACTTCACGTATGAGCGTACTGTTGACGTGAAGAGGCGCGGTGAGCTCCCTCTCGGAGCTGTGATCGCTATCTTTTTACGCGCATGTCTCTCATGGACGTCTATGAACTTGGACGCATAGGGGCTGACATACTACAAAATGACGACATGGGACATATGCACTTGCTGCCGTTACCGGCGACCCTAAGGAATCTCTCCAGGGATGCGTAAGACGCACTTGAGGACTAGACAAGACCGCGGTAAAAAAACAGCCAGCCTCCCTTCCCAAAACAGGAACATCTACAGTTCCGGGGATTCCGACCACCTCATTCCTTAGAGCTAACGATCGTTCTCAGGTGAGCAACGAAAAACCTGTCATTCAGCTTGCTCTGATCGTCTTGCTAGCCACACCCGATCTATGCCTATCGTCCCACCAGATATCGTCCCACCATTGAGCATTTACTTCAGGAGACGCCTGCCCGCGCAGACACCATGTTGCAGACACTTGCAGCGCGGCTGTTATCGCACGAAAATGGAATATTGCGACCCCTTCATTAACACCTTATCTTATCTTAATCTTATAGATCATCTTATCTCAATCGTATATCTTATCCATCTTAAATCTTACCTCGCGTTATGTCTTGCCTTGCACTATATCTTATATTATCTGAAATATCATCTCACCTCATGTGTTGTGTCGCATCTTATCTTACATGTACCCATATTTTCATATTATCTTATAGCACTGTCATGGTCCATTAACGGGAGCATCCCACGAAGACTGCAACAGACAGCTTCGCAGAGGCTGCAACCCAGGGCATTAGTGTTCTTGCCCTGTGATCACGAGTGTGCAGGCTGATAATGTTTATGAAATTTGTTTCATTAGCGGATTTTGCGGAAGGATGTAGGTCTTCTGGTTTAGATGGGATGACTTTTTTAGTTTTGACCTCATTTAGATCCGCTTCACTGGACACTAGTGAGACTGCTATTTTTTCCGGTCAAGGTACCCAATGGGGTTCGTTCCCGGTCAGGGGCTGAAGGGTCATTACGTCCCAGCCGACTCGCTGTCGATTCAGTCGTTCTAGTCGCTGGAGGTGCAAAGTGTTGGCTGTCGGGGTTAGTCGTTTTCGGTTGCTCGGGCAGTACAAAGGAGGCACCCTGCGGATGGGGGGGGGGGGGGGGCACCTGAAGAGTCTCGTGGCCCGACCCTCGGATAGGGCGGGCGGGGCGGCATGTAAGTGAGGACGAATAAATGAACAAAAGTTCGTAGAATGTGAGAGCAGCTAGGTGAACAGGGTGGCTTACACGATCGGCATTTCACCACCTATATCGCGTTGGTAAGCTCAACATGCGTTATGGATAATGGGTCGACCTCATCGTACCGAGGGCTGCTATTTGATGCGCAACATAGTTTTCGTATCACAGGACAAAAGATGTTTAGCTGCTGCAAAGCGTTTTCGTCTTCATGGCTCCGATTCGGCTATATAGAAATTCACCAAGCCCACCTTCTGCAAAATAAATATCACAAGCGATCGGGTCGGATCAAGTGCTGTCCAATAAATGGTGACATCACGTACCTAGTTATTTTCAATTGCACACCTTCGTTCGGAAACCTGAATGTTTGCATTTCGTATACACACACTCTCCGCATGATGTCCCACGTGGTGCAAGGCAGTGTGATTGAATCACATTTTACGGACATGCTCTGCTTCCTGCGTGTGTGAGTGCAGCTTTGAAGGGAATGTTTCAAAAGTTAAAGATATTGAGGTGAGCGTCAAATATGATAAAACAAGCGCACTTCTAAGCATTGGTATACTTTTTTAGTGGAGGAGACGGCTCTGGACAGCACATTTCCCTGTTGGTAAATGTGCTCTCCAATGCGCCATTGTTTGATTACGTCATCTGACCTTGCACAAAGTTGACTGAGGCCAGTTGACGGCCGTCATATCTGGAAATTGTGCTCACAAACGTCAGATATGAATGCCTCGACAACTATGCTTTTCTTGCCCTTGATCGCCACATGGCTTATGGAATGGCAGGAGTTGAATAACGTTACTATGACATCATGAGTGCCAAGGTGACTATGAGATACTTCCCGTAACATACATTTTCCCGTTTTCGCGGGGATGCAGCCGAGAAACTGAAGGGGCTTCGGTCTTAAGAAGCGCAGCATGATGAACAGCCCCAAAAGGTCTTCAAGATGGATTCTTCAGTTCAAAACCTCATATAAATGTGAAACACTCCCTTTAAGCGATGTCCGAGTGCAAAGGTGTTCAAAAGGGGGCGAGTGAACGGATGCGGATTTTGACGGCGGGGTTTTCCTCCAACTTAGACTTCGTTTGGTAAATATAGCTCATTTCCGCGCATTATGATATTGTGTGATATAGAGTATTGTGACAACTTGCAGGTTGTGGGTCGTGACCATCTGTCAAGATGAGATTTATCCTTTTTCGGGGAAGTATCCGCATACTTGATGTTGTATATCTCATTATTATCACCAACAGGGAAGGATCAAATCACCGGACAAGTCAACGTATAACTATGGTACTTTAAAGTCTTTTGCGACGCTCAGCAAATGTTGTCATACACATCTGAAGAAAGATTTACAAAAGCACGTCTAAAACAGCGCGAGCTCGAAATTACTCGGGCGTGTACCGCTTAAATCCATCGTTTAAGCGATGTCCACAAATCATTTGCCGGTGGTTTGGCTTAGGCGGTGGCTCCCCTCCCCTTCCTCCTGACTTATTGTTACAAAGATCAGCTTTGACTGTGGCAAATAACACCGGGAAAAGTTATGTGAGGGACCAGGCGCTCTTGCAAACGAGTTTCCCACGGTCGCATACTCCTGTCGAACGGTACGCGATAAAAGGCCTTCATTATTCCTCAATTGTCTGGATGGCACTTGAATACGGCAAACTAGAAGCATTCTAAAGGATGAGACAAGTCGACTAAGGTGAACGCCATATTCGGAAACAAAATATCACCCGGTGACCGCATCTGACTCGGAGAAAAGGTCTGGTACAACTGAAGCAGTCTCATCATCGGAAGCTCCTCTGAAGCCCCTCAATGCATATAAACAAAAAGCGAGTACCGAACCAAATAAATCAAGGACAATTATCTTAACCACACGTATATTAGGCAACAGGTACATAAACATATCGATTTTAGTGTCATCTTAATCTGGGCCAAATCTCTTATCATGCTAACTCTTTCATATGTTAACTAGTCCGCAAATGTTTGACATGCCTTTCAAATGATAAGGCCTGATTTAAATAAAAAACCATTTACTGCAATGTGCAGCAGCTTTGAAAAGTTCATGGGGAGAGGCAGATAAAAGTTAACGCATGTTTTCCTCACAGTGGCCAAATGCATTTGTCCCATAAGCGTGGGGTAGTTATATAACATGGGCAACAGCAGCGGTAATGATTAGTGATCTTTCAATGAGACTTATCAATTTTTTCTGTGAGTTACACCACACTCTAGGCTTTCCACAAAAAGGCAGCTCAGAGTGACCTGAAATGGCAAGTCATTCTTTCGCAGAAAAACAATGTTGGTTCCACAAAATATTAAAATTTTCAACCTTAACATCAAGGACGCAAATTTAGGCCGCTGAACCCGGGGGAATAATTTGGTTTTGGGGAGTTACGTCAAACTTTTCGGCTGAGCTCCCCAAACAATTTTATAACGTGACACTCCTGGCTACGACGATCGCTTACTTTTTGGTTTTGCAGCGCTGGGATGACCACTGGAAAGTCCGAATTAGATGGCCGGGCCAGGCAAACACTTTGACACCAGACCCGCGAGACGCCACGAACGAGGAACTTATTGGGTGGTCTTGAATAGACCAAGGTCTGAGCAAATGTTTGAAACTCGGTTCAGCTGAAGGTTAATTACAACAGAATCGATGTACTTATTTCAAGGAACGTATTTTCTAACCCTGGTCGTGGATAACCTGACTCGAATAGATAAAAAGCGAAAATGCTGCTTAGCATACACAGGCATGCAGATGGGGG